GAGAACTGGGCATATGATAACATATCTTTACACAACGAAATATCACAGTCATTAAAATAATGCAGAGACCCTCCCTGGCCTGCTAGCTCAGTGGGTGAGAGCACTGTCCTGAGACAGCAAAGTTGTGGGTTTGATCCCTGGTCAGGGCACATAAAAGAATTAACCAACAAATGCATAAACTAAATGCAACAACAAATCTTTCTCTCTCTCTCAAATCAATAAATTTTTAAAAATGTATTAAAGCAGGTCTATGTGCACTAACACGGAAAAAAGTATAGTGCCAAATAAAAACAAGTTGTAAAAAGCATGTTGTGTGACAACCCCCCCTTTTTTGTAAAATAACAACTATGTTGTTTGTTTACATCTGTCCTACCTCTAAAATATATGGCACAGGAAGGAAGAGACTTTAACTTCTAGGGCTTTCTCCCAGAGTCCCCAGGATACTTTCAGGTCCACCATAGGTACCCAAAATTGTTGCATAAAAGAATGCAAACTGCAGCAAGACATACAGCAGGCACTCACTAAACACTGTGATGGTGCCAGTATGAGGAAACAAGACCTTCTTACACATTGACAGAAAAATGTTAAGTAGAACCATCATTCCAACGGACAATCTAGCAATATGGATCAAAATGAACATGTACAGCCCTTACCCACCAATTTTACTCCAAGAAACTTACTTGATATTATCCTGTTAGTTTTCAGAACTAAGACACACAGTATTTGCAGTATTCTACGGCTATAGAATTTAGTACAGATTGCTTCCATCCTGTGATTGTACTGAACAGTTTCAGAAATACCAATAATGATCTTGATTCATCTTGTCTTTGAGTATGGCTTAACACCCCTGCGACTCTGGCCACTCATAACAAATTGTGTAAAGTATTAAAAAAAGATACTGATAAGACCATGAATTTAATTATTCAATCTCTTCTCCATAAGAATCAGAAGAACTAATGACCTGGCTGGTGTAGCTCACTGGATTGAGCGCAGGCCTGCAAGCCAGAGTATCGCGGTTCGAATCCCATCAGGGCACATGCCTGGGTTGCAGGCCAGTCCCCAGCAGGGGACGCGTGAGAGGCAACCATACATTGATATTTGTCTCCCTCTCTCCTTCCCTTCCCCTCTAAAGATAAATAAATAAAACCTAAAGAAAAAAAAAGAATCAGAAGAACTGCTCAATCTAAAGGAAAAAGTGGGGAAAAAAGCTTTTTTGACATTTAAATAAAAATTGCTTGGACCTCTGATTAAGTGTGGTTCTGAAAGCACAAGCAACCAGAAAATAAAAAAGATAAACTAGATTACATTTATAAGTTACTGTACTGCAAATGGTACCATCAAGGACATAAAAAAAAAAGCCTGAAAGAAAATATTTGCAAATATAAGGGACTTGTATCCAGTGTATCTAAAATACTCTTACATCTCAATAATAAAAGACAAATAACCCAATTTTAAAAGGGCCGAGGGCTTGAATAGACATTTCTGCAAAGAAGATCCATGAATTGACCAATTAGCACATGAAGGGATGCTCAACCTTAGTCTTCAGGAAACGCAAATCAAAACCACAGGACACCAGCTCGCACCCACTGGGAGGCTGCGAGAGACAAAACCAGGCGTGAAGAGGGAGAGACTGGGACCCTCATACTTTGTATGCACAACAGCGCAACCTCTTTGGAAAATAATTTGTCCATAATTTCCACACCAGAATCTGTGCACAAATGTACACAGCAACATTATTCGCAACAGCCAAAAAGTAGAATGGCCCCAATGTCCATGAACTGCTGAAAAAAACAAAAAAGAAAAAAAATACACATATATATATATATATATATATATATATATATATAAAATGTGGCAGGTGTATACATAAAATGGATTATTCAGCATTGAAAAGAAATGAAAATGACCACCAAGCACATGAAAAGATGCTCATTAGTCATTAGGAAAATGTAAATCAAAACCACAATGAAATGCCACTTCAAACCCACTAGGGTGTAATTTTTTTTAAATGTAGAAAGTAACAAGTGTTAGCAAGGCTAAGGGAAGCCGGAACCCTCCTGTACCATAGGTGGGAGGAGAACAGCGAGACAGCTCCTCAACAAGTCAAACACAACCACCACATGACCCAGCAACCCCACTCCTAGGTACTGACCCAAAAGAACTGAAAAAAGTGCCCCAGCAAAACCTGTACACAAATGTTCACAGCAACACTATTCACAAGAGCCAAAAAGTGGAAACTATCAAATGTCAAGACAGTTAACTATGTGAAGTGATGGGTGTATTAATTATCTTGACCTTGGTGATCATTCCACAACGTACATGTGTATCAAATCAGCACAGTACACACTTTAAATATATACAATTATTTGTCAATCATTCCTCAAAGTTTGGGAAGGGAATTTTTTTAAGTTCATCTTTTAAAAAGACATATTTATTTTTAGAGAGAGGGGAACGGAGGGAGAGAAACATCAGTATGTGAGGGAAATATCAACTGGTTGCCTCCCCCATGCTCCCCAAACGGGGAACAACAGGTGGGCAACCCAGGCACGTGCCCTGACCGGGAATCAAATCTGAGACCTTGAGCTTTGCGGGACAATGCCCAACCAACTGAGCCACACCAGTCAGGCCAGGAGGGGATTTTTCAAGTCCATCAACTAACAAACAGATAAATAAAATGTGGTGTATCCAAACAATGGAATATTATTTGGACATAAAAAGGAATAAAGTACTGATACACACGACAACATGGACGACTCTTGAAAACTACATTATGCAAAGTGAAAGCCAGACCCTCCCCCCAAAAGGCCACATATTGTGTAAGTCCATTTATGCGAAATATCCAGAATAGAGAAACCCAGAGAGATAAAGATTAGTAGTTCTCACCAGGGGGAGTGAAGAGGGAAAAATAGAAAGTGACTACTTAATGGACACAAACTTTCCTTTTAGGGTGACGGGGGGGGGGGGGGGGGGGGGGGGGGGGTTTGGAACAAGAGGATGGCAATGTTAGTACAATACTGTAAAGGTTGTACAAACTGAATCAGATACTTTAAAATGGTAAATTATGTTATGTATTTTACATGCTTCAACATGGATGATCCTTGAAAATATTCTGCCAAGTAAGAGAAGGCAGTCGCAAAAGTCCCAATGTATGATTCCATTTACATGAAATGTCCAGAACAGGTAAATGTAGAGGCAAAAAGGATATTGATGATTGTCTGGAGCCTGGGGACCAGGGAGTATAGGGGAAGACTGAATGCTAATCCAATGGGTACAGGGCTTCTTTGGGGGGGGAGTGGCCAAAATGTTTTAAAATCAGATTGTGATGATGGCTAAACAACCTTGCGAATATACAAACATAAAACACTGGACTCTACATATTAAATAGGTGAACTGTATCTCAATGCGATTTTAAAAAAAGAGCGAAAATAACTGCTTGGATGTTAAGTTTGCAACTGCAGCTTAAAACTCACTTTCTCTGTGACATCCCCCTTAGAGTGATTCAGCCAATTCGTACTCCTTTACTTCCGTTAAAATCAGATTATATATATATATATATATTTTTTTTTTTATTACTCTGGAACCTAGTTATGTTGAGAAGCTTAGCAAATTCTATTATACACGGACTTCTGTCATTTCCAGCAGTTACTTGCTGTTGGACTCGGACCTGCCCTCCTTGTGAGCCCGACGCCCACAGCTTGGAATGATTCGTTTGATTTATGGAAGTTCCCTAACTTGTCTGACTTCTCAAACTAGACTTTAAGCTCCAAAGCTGAAACCTCGACTTCCATTCCTTCCGGATCCCGCCGTAGAATGTAGAAACTCCAGAAAGCCTTCACTAAATGCCTGCTGAAAGGCGGCTACTGAGCATGCCCGGCTTGGCCAAGTCAGTTCAACAACATTCCGGAACAAAAACTACAGTTCCCGCGTCAAAAGGTGGAAAAAACAGAAGAGACAGGCACAATGCTTAAGGATTAGATCTAAAAAAAAAAAAGTCAAGGTTCAAGGGCTAAGGAGAAGTGAAGGACAACACACAGCTCAAACTGCATTACTGATGGAGAGGTGTAGAGTCAGAACGACAAAAAAAAAAAAAAGGCTAAAAAAAAAAAACGAGATAAGGGAGGTTAACAGGGAACTGAAGGGCACTGATAACTAGCTTAACCATACGGTTTTCCAAAGCAACCTTATCCAAAAGTAATACTAAGATGATCAAGCTTCTGCCTCAACACTAATGCAAGATAAAGCTGTGATGGAACTTTCAGAGAAAGTTCCCTTTTTACAAGCAAAAAAGCCGAGCCATGGCCAGGTTTTCCAACTACCAAGGTTGGCTAAGCTCTCAGCTCCTGCTCTTAACCATTTCCACCGCCATCTTCTAGATAAGAACCCAGAACCCTTTTGCAGGGTTTTAGGCAGCATCACCACCGTGCAGAATCCGGGAAGCCTGCGTTTCCCAGGTCGCCCAAGCGGTGGAAAGCAGGGAGCCTCCACCTTGCTCCCCTCCGCGCCCGCTGGGTGCACGCAACGGGCCGCAGTCTTCTTTCCCCCAACCCGACCCCCAGCCAGATTTTCCAAGGTCCGACGCAAGGAGGGCGCGAGGCCCGGTGCGCGGGCCTCACCTGCACACGCCGCGGATGCAGGGCTCCAACCAGATGCGGTAGGCGGTCTCGATGTGCTCCTGCGACACCTCCTCGGGCCGCACGGTCTCCGCCCAGCGCCAGGCGGCCTTCTCCAGCTGCAGCCGTGGGGCCATGGCCTTGGCCAGAGGAGAGCCTCCGGAGCCGGGCCGCCGCTGCTGCCGCGGACGCCTCCACAGCCGCCCAAATGGGCTTCGCCACCTGCCAGTGATGAAGACCAAGCGCTCCCTCAGCCAGCTGGCCAGTCAATCACCTGCGCGCGCCACTGCCGCCGCGCCCGCCCGCGCCCGACCCGCACGACCAGCCGCAAAGCGTCGCCGCAGACACCCGACACCGCCCCCTCCCCTAACTCCCGCAGACGTTGGAGATGTACTCCCCGCGGCGGCGGGCGCATGCGCGTTCCCAGGAGCCTTTGCGCCTTCCGCGCCTCTGGGCAGATAGGCGGAGGAAAGGGAAGCCGTCGTCAGGGACAGGCTTTCCACGTCCCCATTGACGCTGCTGAGGAAGCAGTCTCAGCACCTCTCCAGGGTAGTGTCTGCGTACCACTACTCTAACGAGGCGCCTGGAGTGCAGAAGGATTCTTATTCTCGCCCTCTGGGCCTTCCCCTTTAACCTGGAGTCACGCGAGAGGCTACTCAACGCACACCATAGGTCCGCTGAACTGCGGGGTGGGACCTGAATCCGGGTCACCAGAAAAACCAGCCTCTGCTCTCTAGAGGATTTAACTTGAACCTGGACCGGTTCCGACTCCTTTTCCGAGCCCTCCTGACGTCACGGGACGTTCTGGGCCTTTCCTGGACTAGAACGGGACTTCGGGTCCCAGCGTGCTTTGCGCGCTGCCACTCATTGGATTCGAGACATCTTGGGATTTGTAGTCTTTGAGGTAGGGGGCGGGGCGTGGTGTGCCGTGGAGTGTGCAAAGGCGCAGGGGTGGGGCGCGGTTTTTCTAGCTGGGAGGGTCAACTTTGCAAGCAGCCTGACTCTAACTACTGTTGTTGTATATGATGATTTCCTAATTCTTCCTTGAAGCTCTTCTCTAGCTCTCATGTTTAAAAACAGTTCATAAACATAAAATAAAATAAAAACAGTTCATTTTTGCAACTTTGCCCCAGGATATAGAGTAGCCTCATCAGAATGTTTTGCAGACTGTGAAGAGCAGTGCTGGTGTGAAGATTTTGAGAACTTTACATTTGAATGAGAGCTCTGGGGACGTCTAAGCCCTAATTTCTGACTCAGAAGTTGACTCAGAAGTCTTACTCTTGGTCTGGGTGCTAACCTGTGCTAGTCATTAGACATTCCCTGAAGGCGTGATGAAAATAAAACATGGCCCCTGCCATCGGAGGTGGTAAGGTGAGGGCGGTAGAAACAGAAAGTAAGGCCCCAGCCTTGGAAGATTTGGAGTCCTGGGAAGGGTTCCTTCCCAGAAGCAGTAACTCTTAAGCCCACCTTTAAAAGAGTAGAATTTAGCCAGGATGGAAGAAAAGCTCCTTTGCAGATAAAAGGATCAGCAAGGAGCAAAGGCACACAAGATAGAAGCTTCCTCCCCCTTGAGCCACAAACTCTGGAACTTGGAGAGGTGAGAGATGAGGCTTGAGAGCCAGGCCAAGATTGCGTTTATCTGAAGGACTCAGAAAGGTTTAAAACTGGTGAATGATATACTCGAGATCTGCATTTTTGTCTATTTCTCTTAGCTTTCTCCCTCTGAATCAAGGTTAGGAAGTAATTCAGGCCAGATACAATGAAGGCCTGAACTGGGGGGGGGGTGTAATAAGTATGGAGTAAGGAGCCAAATTTGAAAGATACTTAGGCCATAGAATTGTGAATTTGGTGATTTGGTCTGATCAATGTCTGTTAACCTTTCTGCTATTTGACTTTCAAGTCTGGGTCATGGCCCCTTCCTGGGTGTTTATATCTTGCTGTGTCACCAGGGCCCCACTTAGCACATGATGAAACAATATTATTAACCTTGTGCTGTCAGCGCTATATGCCAGTTTTCTAAAGGGTAATTAAATGAATAGTTTCTGTTGTTAAAAAAACAACAAACCCAAAATGGAGTCACTTTTGGTAAGCCCCACCAAGACTTACTACAGACATACCTGATTTTATTGCGCTTTACTTTATTACAATCACAGATGTTGAGTTTTTTTACAAATCAAAGGCAAGATCCTGCAGCAAAAAGATTACAGCTCTCTAGATTGTAGTGGTCTGGAATCAAACCCTCAATTTCTCCATGATAATGCCTGTTCCTCCAGTTTCAACCTATTCCGGGAATGGAATTTTAAACCAATCAGTCTGGAATGTCTTGGTCAACCTTAGTGAGGTAATCTGCCTGTTGAGACCTCCGGCCTTTTCCTCAGGGAAGGTAACCCAGCCTGAAATAACCCACTCTTAACTCCCTTGTCCCACCCCCCTGCCTATACAGGCAAACCTCTCTTTGTTGTGCTACACTTGACAGCACTTCAAAGAAGTTTCATTCTCTTACAAATTGGAGGCAAAATACTCCACTAGCAGAAAGATTATGACCGACTTCATTGTGATACATGCTTTAATGCAATGGTCTGGAACCAAACCTGCATTATCTCTGAGGTATGCCTTCAAAACCCTCCACTTTGTACAACTATTCAGAGCTCCCTTCTAGTTGTTAGGTAGGATGTTTTATAATGCCAATTAGATTTGCTCAACTGAATTTTGTTTTTTAACAATACCAAGTGAGTTAGAAATACAGAAGAAGGTGCAGGTTTAGGAGGTAGATGGTGGATTCCAGGTGCATCAGGGACATCCATGTCAGAACAGCAGACACGAGTCTGAGTCTTGGGGGCTTTCTTGTTCCTGTATCATGAATTTTTCAGTCTCTCCTGGATCATTCCTACCAGCATTCAAGTATGCTATAGTATCTCCCAGTTTAACAAACCCCTTTCTTGACTCCCACATTCCCCTCCAGCTACTGTTTCATTTCTGTTCCCCATTATAGAAACTGGGAAGAGCTGTCTAATCCAGTTCCCCTCCTTAAACCCACTTCAAATCAAGCCCTTATCTCTACCACACCCCAAACCATTCATATTAAAGTCACCACTGACCTCCACATTGTTAAGTCTAATGCTAAGCTCACACTATTTTACTTGACCTATCCACAGAATTTGACCTAGGTATTCACCGTCTTCTGTCTTCTTTTAACTTGTGTGACACAACACTCTCCTGGGTTTCCCACTGCTCACTAGCCATTCTTTTTCAGTGCCCTTTGCTGGTTCTTTCTTATCTTATCTGCAAACTTGAGTAGCCTAGGGTTGGACCTCTTCACTAATTACAGTCACTCCCTGCGTGATCTGATCTCCCACGGCTTTAAATACTAGTAGTGTATTGATAACGTCCAAATTCATACCTCCAGACCTGCCTTTGCCCCTAAAATGCCAGACTTCTATGTCCTATTGCTTACCCAGCATCTCCAGTGTGCTATAGCTGTCTCACACCTCACCGGTCTAAACTGTATCCTTATTCTACCACCAATTTCCACTCCCCACCCCCACCCTAGCTGGCCACAGCCAATTATCCTATAATCCCTCCCATCTCAGCAGAAGGCTACTCCATCCTTCCAGAAATCTTACAACTTGAACTTTTTCTCTTACATCGCCATCCAGTCCTTCCACAAATCCTGTCACCTGTGCCTTCAAAACATACACAGAAAGCGACCACTGTGCAGTGGCCGTTACCACCTGGTCCTCACCTGGGTTGTTGCAAAGGCTTCCTAGCTGGTCTCCCTGTTTCGGCTTTGCAAAGCACTTTTGACACATTCATTCACAGCACCTTGTCCATACACTGCTCAAATTTTTATGTGTGTTTCAGTTGTGTTTTTACCTTTCTTGAAATAATAAAGCATAATATGCTGAATATGTTGTGTGTGTTCTTCCATCTTCAGTATTAAAATAGCTACACAAAAGCTCACCAATTTTGATAAGTTTTTTTTAAAAAATTATTTAGAGAGAGGGGAAGGGAGGAAGAGAGGGAGAGAAATGCCAATGTGTGAGATACATTGATAGTTTGCCTCTAGCATGCCCCCAACTGGGGGCCTGGCCCACAAACCAGGCATGTGCCCTGACTGGGAATCGAATTGGCAACCTCTTGGTTTGGAGGCTGGCATTCAATCGAAAGAGCCACACTAGCCAGGGCAATGTTTTGTTTTGAATGCACGCTGATACGACAGCTGCCACAATACAATCAAACAAAATTGTTTCAAATGAAGTTAAAGACAACTTAGCACTACTAGAGCCATCTTATGGGAAAAACCAAACGAACTTTTTGGCCAGCCCGATATAAGGAGAATCAAAGAAGTGAGAGTATCTCAGAAGCTTAGGGAGGAAAGTCAAGAAGATGGGAATGGTCAGCAATGTTAAATGCTACCCTATTTTCTCTCCCGTAGCTTGGCTCCCTTCACAGTAAAATTATTGAGAGAATTATCTACTCCCAGCACTGTCCATTGGAAATATATTATGAGTTACAGGTAATTTAAAATTTTCTGGTAGCCACATTTTAAAAAGTAAAGAGAAACAGGTGAAATTTATTTTAATATATTTAACCCAATATATCCAAAATGTTTACATTTCTATATGAAAGCAGTATTTGGGGTTTTTTTTTAGATTTTATTTATTTCTGGAAAGAGGGGAAGGGAGAGAGAAAGAGGGAGAGAAATACTGACATGAGAGAGAAACATGGATCGGTTGCCTCTAGTAGGCGCCCTCCCTGGGACCAAACCTGCAACCCAGGCGTGTGCCCTGATCACGAATTGAACCAGCGACCTTTCAAACCAACTGAGCCATACCGGTCAGGTCTGAGATCAGCATTTTAAATGTGTGAATGAAGGATTCTACCTTTTCTCGTGCAACATTTTGGAAATCTGATGTACATTTTACACTTGCAGCTCATCTCAGTTCAGACTCACTACACGTGGTGAGTGGCTCCAGCAGTGGGCAGCCAAGTGTGTACTCTGCAGACTTCCTCATCTGTTCTCCCTGCAGCCAGCTCCAGTCTGGCCTATGATCTTATCCCTCCTTTACAGCTGCTTTTATCAAAAGTTCCAGGGGCCCCACATTATCAAAACCAGGGCTCTGTCCTTAGCTCTCTGCAGTCACCAACACAGATGATCTCTCTTGCCACCTGGAAATGTCCTTCCCCTTGTTTCTGGGCAGTATCCTCTCCTGGTTTTCCACATCCCCCAGTGGCTGCCACTTCTCAGTCGTCTTTGTCCCCTCCTCCTCTTCTATTTGGTTTCTAAGTGCTGTTGTAAAGGAAAAACTCATTACTATGTGTCTCCTCTATTCTCAATACGCCAATACTACTTCTGATACCCAGATGTGTGAGTTTTCCACTCATCAAGCAATTCTGTGATACCACTGGGTGTCCTACAATTTAACTCAATTCTGATACTGCCTACCTGGATGAAGCATCAGATCACACAGGTTAAGGCTTCAGTCTTACAAGACTGCACATACACACCCTTCAGACATCAGTTGCAAGTTCAGGTTCTCACCTGTGTTTCGGACCAACTTGCCAGTAGCTGTAAATTGGAGGTTCCCACGACCCTTCCCCCCACCTGAGGTTACATTAATTTGCTAGCGTGGCTCACAGAACTCAGGAAACCATTTTAACTGCTAATTATCAATTTACTGTGAAACGATGAAACTCAGGCCCTGACTGGTAGGGCTCAGTTGGTTGGGTGTCTCCAGCAAAGTGAAAGACCACCAGGGGGACGGGGTGTAAGGGAGATAAATGGAAATGGAAATAAGTAAGTACATAAATAAAACCAGTTTAAATTTAAAAAAGAAAGGAAGAAAGGTTGCCAGTTTGATTCATGGTCAGGGCTCATGGGCCAGTCCCTGGCTGGGAACCAAT